TAAGGGTAGTTTCTTCGAAACCTGCGCCTGCCACGTATTGCCATCATCAGCGGTAGCTTCCTCCACATTAGCCCCTGCCACGCGTTGCTTCCTCCGAGTGGTGTTTCGTTCCAAACAACATTGGCCCTGCCAGGGTTTGAGGCCACATTACGGGTTGTTTTTTCCGAGCCTGCGCCTGCCATGTGCTGACTCCAGCTGGGGTTGGTCCTCCACAACTTGGCCCTCCATATGGGGTAGTTTCTTCCAGGTTTCTGCCTGCCACGCGTTGACCTCCCATCAGGGATGCTTCCTTCGGAAACTTGCCTGCGCCTGCCACGCGGCCTGCCACGCGTTGAGTTTCCATGCGGGGGTTGCCCCTTCCCACCCACGGGTTTCACAAGTCGGCTCCGCAAACCATGCAAAGAAGGGACACATCGAAAAACAGACACAAATGAAGCGGTCAATTCAGCTAACGTGACGAATTGTCGCGCACCAATCAGCTTCCCACCGTGCAAAACCACGCCATGTTTCCCTTCATCTTACAATTGGCCGCATGGGGCCTGCAAAACCAAAATGAAACAAGGTGGGCCAGAGAACTCACAAGCAACACGGCGTACAGCACGCCTTTTTAACAAAGTCTTGCGCTATGGGCAGCTGTGCTCTGTGCGAAATGGACGTAAGATCTTTACTGAAACATCGTTCGCACTGATGGTATTAGGGGCCACAACTCACCACAGCATGCTGTGCCAGCTACGCCCATTGGCCGCGTGGGGTCTTCAAAACCAAAATGAAATACATCTATATTGAGTGGTCTTTCTTGTTTTTCTGCTTTGTGGTTCTATGGTTTCTCGTTTTCATTGAGTTGATTGGTGTCATCCCATCCTTTCAAAAATACAGGTGCACCCAGCCCGGGCGGCCTCCGGTCATGGAATTTCTCCGTGTATCTGCAGCCCCAGCTACTTGAACATGTCCTGAGCTGATCTTGCACTGTTGCGCTGTCACCGTGGCAATGGTTGGCTGCAACACTGGCAACCGGCACCCAACACATCTTCTGACATTGGTGTTTCTCATACTCCAACAGGAAAAAAAACAGTTTGCGCAGCTGATCTTGAACTGCCAAGCTGTCCCCTCGACCAGATTGATGGATTTCCACACAAACACGTCTAATCCGAGAAAAAATGAGGTCCAAAGAAACATCGCCCAGTGTTACAATCTGTTCACTTCTGAGCTGATTTTGAACTGCTGCGCTGTCACCCTAGAGATAACTGGCTCAAACACTGGCATGTGGTAGTAAAAAAAAAACTTTGCCCCATGCGAAATGACGGAACGTGCACATGTTTTGAAAACCCTGTTTTTGACCTTCCAACATGGAAATAAAAACCGTGTCGTGCAGCTGATGTTGAACTGCCGAGTTGTACCCTGACAGATGCATGAACTGCCACCCAAACGCGTGCATCCGAAAAAAAACGTCTCTCCGTGTCACCATGTGTTCACGTCTGCGTTGAGTTTGAACTGCTGCGCTGTCACCTGCAGAAGCATGGCTGAAAGGCTGGCATGCGCTGTTCCACAAACACAACGCTGCCCCATGTGGAGTCACGGGAGGGTCACATGTTTCCAAAATGCTGTATCTGACCTTCCAAGATGCAAATCGAAACCGCTTCGTGCAGCTCCTGTTTAAACTGCACAACTGTCCCTGAAAGTTTTGTGCATGGCCGCACAAACGCGCCTAGTCTCCCGCAGTGATGGTGGGTCCCAGAAAAAAACCGTCTCCCAGTGTTACAGTCCGTTCAGTCCTGAGCGGAGCGTCAACTGCTATGCCGTTACTCAAACGATGGATGACTGAAACACAGGCATATGCCATTCAAACAAACATACCATGGCGCCATGCAGATCACATGTTTATAAACTCCTGGTTCTCACCTGCCAACATGAAAATAAAAACCGTCTATTTCATGGATGCCACAGAAACACGCCTCGAATCCTACAAACAAGTCGGTACACAGAAAGCGTTTCCCAATGTTAGAGTCTGTCCACTTCAGAGTTGATCTTGAACTGCTGCGCTGTCACCCTTGAGACGGCTTGCTCAAACACAGGCAGGTGCTGCCGGAATTGTACCACATGCAGGGGCGGAACGTGTTGCACACTCCTTAGCTGATCTTGAACTGCAGAGCTGTCACCCTACAAATGGCTGGTTTACACCTTCGCATGTGGTGTGCAAACCAAAACAAGCTTGTTCCTTCCGGAGCAATGGAGTGTTTCTCACCCTACAACATGAACATGGAAAAATACCCCTTTTCATGACATGTCCCTTGAACTGCCCAGCCGGTCCGCCACAGCTAATTGACTGACTAGGCAAGCGGCAGTTAACCTTACTGGGCGGACGTTGTTTCTGACCTCAGGCACCCAGAAGTTACCCCATCCCAATGGCACACCGGGTTACCTCAGCCCATCCGCAAGTTACCCTAGGGACCAAATCCTATTGGCACACTAGCACCACACCATCGTTGGTCTGAGTCTGGCAAACAAAATATGTAAAATGTGTCCGTGCCATTGCGAACCACATATTCGATACCATCTCCTTTGGTGATAAAACCATGTTGAAAGTGGCCAACCGCCATTGGCACACACGCATTGACAGCAAAACAGCTGCCTTGAATCTTCCGCCTGTTTGAACAGTCAGAACAATCATCCTCCGCATGGAAAATTCAAACCTTGATGTTGAATTGCGGAGCTGTTTCCCCACAGGTTCACGGATTGCCACAGAAACATGTCTAGATCGGCCAAAAAGCTGGTCCCCAAAAACTCATTCCACTGTTCGAATCTGCTGCCAGAATCGCAACGGCGCAGATGCGGAACATGCTGCGCATTCCTTAGCTGATGTTGCAGTGCACTGCAGCGGGCACTCACATGAAAGTCACGATGCAGCAAGAGATTCAAACTCATACTTGGAAATCCCAGCATAAATCTGCCAGAGAATGGAAAGGAGGTCCAATACAAGGTCCACATACATCATGCTTGTACCACAAATGTGAAAATTAATGTCACCGACCGTGTGCAAGATCGCGCTTGGCGGTCATCTGAAGCACATCCCAACAGCAGATGGAAGGTGGAACATGACCAAAGATATTGGTTTGAACTCACGGCTTGCCATGGTCCAGCAAAGTGCAGACAGGGTCACTTCGAAGAGGAAAGCAGCAGCTCAGCAGCAAAGCAGTTCCCAAAGCACTGCACCAGGCGTCCTGTGCAATTTTCTGCAGCACTTGAAACGATCCCTCAAAAACAAATGCCTTCTTACAGCAGCAAAACGATTTTCCGCGTTTTTTTGCCAGTGCAAAGTTGGCATGCTTGGACTTGTCACTGCTCCAGTCCATGCAGCCACAACGCAACAGTCGAAGTTTTCCGTTCAGGAACCAACGCTGCCGCGTAAGCAAGGTCGGGCATGCACCTGAAAACCGTCTTGCCTTTTCTCCAAGTGGTTTGGCAACGAAACCATGTGGAAACATACACTGGCTCCTCTACAAGGCTTTATGACCTGCCCATAGTATTATGTTTTTTTTACCTCGCATTCCAATGTTCTCTTCCCACAGGTTCTGCCAAATTCTAGCACCAGTCCGGTAGAGGAACACGCCAATGGCTTACAAAGTAGTTTACTTTATGACCAACAATGCCGCAGCATGCACGCCTATAGTGGGCAAGAGGTTGTCTCGGCTACATGCTCGTTTCTTTCACAAGCAAGCCCATCCCTTTTAGAGATTCTGCTTTGCAGTTGCTCCGCAGTGAAGATTGGACCTAATCTTGCGCTGCTTCAGCAGCGGTGACCAACTTCCGCAAATCACTCAGACTCAACTGCTTTGCTGTCTTCACAAGTTTCTGCTGCTTTTTCAGTGCATTCTTCAAGTTCTGCCGATTGACCTCATGAATGCACAGGCAAGCCCTTCCCAAGGACCCGCAAGTAACAGGCTCACAGTTGCTAAAAAGTATCTGATGCCACGCCCCCAACTCGCCAAGTGGCACTGATTTCTTTGCGCAGCTCTTGTCGCTTGGCTTTCAAGGTATCGAGCTCTTCACGCAAAACCTGCCCTAAACCGGGCCCGGAAAAAGGGGTACAAAAATCAACGAAAACTCCGTCCACATACCAGAGCCCTGCCAGTATTGATACACATGCTGACCATAGCTAGTGGCATAGTTGTCAACTGCTATGTATGGACAGCAAGAGAAAAGCATATTCTGGATCTACAGTGACCGTACACTGGTACCCAGCAGTTTTAAATGGCAAGTGGCTTAGTTTTAGGCTGATATGTCTGGAGAGAGAGGAGCCTAAGCAATGATATAGACTTTGCGGCTCTAAGCAGGAAAGGGCGCACCTTTTCTCAGTCCAAGGCCGGCATGATTGGGTCTGTACAATGATCCAATCCATGCAGCCACAAAGCAACATTCGCAGATCTCCCTCGGGGAAACAATGCAGCTGCTTGGTGTAAGGTGGGCAAGGCAGGGGGAGCTGTCTTGCCTTCCCCCCAATTCAATTGGTGACGAAGGCGTTTGGACAAGTACAGCTGCTGCCCTAAAAGGCCTGTTTGCAAAAAAGCGTGGGACCAATCTCTGTCAGACATTGTTCTCCGCACTGACTCCTCCGTCTCCGCACTGACTCCTCCGTCACACGCAACCACTCCAACGTGGTCATGTTTCCATTCAGGAGCTCCCCTTTAGCTGTCACCCAACATTCAGCCATGGTTTTCCTCAACACAGCTAAAACACAAGTGTCAAGCGGCTGCAGGAACGGCGTGCATTTTGCCGGTACAAGCACAGCCCGCCAGCCTCTGTCTCGAATAGCACGAGCAACCGGGGCTGCTAGATGCGGCGGCGCCATATCCATCACGAGCACAATGGTGCGATGTGGGCACTTCAGGGCGTCCACGGCGACGCTCAAAGAGTGCAGAAACTTCAGCATAACGTCCACAGTCACCCAAGACGATTGCTCACACCAAATCTGCAAGTTGCTTCCTGTCAGCTTTGCATCTGCGGCAATGGCAGCCAAGACGCGCTTGGACAGATGGTGCTGGTTTCCAAGGACTATCTGTGGCAGGCGTTGGTTGAGACTTGTATCAGACGACACACATGACATGAGCGTCATGGCCCCTCTGCATGCAGCTAGTGTTGCCTTCTGACCAGCATGGACGTCGGCTATGGTCCCAGAAAGTCCAGTCAAAGTGAGCTTCAGCGAGCATTCATCCATGTTGATCACCAGCGGCTCATTCGCAGTGAAGACAACGTGATTCATCCAGCGATAGAAACCCATCGCCTGCGCAAACATCGCTTTGGAACGCATGCGAACAGAACCCCGGAAAGGAAGAACAAAAATGACCCCCAAAATAGGGGTTCCTAAGCCTGGAAGCAATGAAACGTTGATTTTCGGGCTGGTCGTACCCCTGTTTCGGGGGCAAGTTTGGGAACCACGTTACGGGTGTAAATAATATGGTACTGGCAACAGGGAAGCAGACTAATCTTGGTTCAAACTATAAAATTCAGAAAGTGCAAGGGGCCTTCTCTCGAAGCTCAGCTTCTGGTATGGCGGGATGAAGTGGCAATCGGCCAAGCCGCGCTTTCCAACGCAAGCGGAACTTGCGACACCAATGTCTCTGTAGCCGAGGCGCACCTTGGAAGCGGCGCAAAAGCACTTGCGCAGCTGCCGCGGGAATGCCAACAGGAATCTCTTTGGTTGCTTGCCGCATCAAATGCAAACGTCCTGGGGCTACACCTCTGCAGTTCTGGCAGCGCGTCCACAACCATAAGCGGTACTGCACCAAAAAGTCCGCTACTTTTGCAGCATCGCGGGCAGGAGGGTCTATGACTAAGCGAACTAAGGCAGTTGCACGGCACTCTGCGTACATGCGCAGGATTTCTGTCTCTGCTTCTTCAACGTCAAACGGTATGGGTTCGGTATGTTTTGCACGCAGAAATTGCACAGCTGCTTCCATGTCATGACCTCCCCAAATCAGAACCAACAATGTTTCCCAGGAATGCTTCTCGCACAAACGCTTGTGGCTGGCCAGGCTTCTCTTCAGCCTTTTTTCAGCTAAGTAGATGCGCTGACTTAAGGCTTGCAGCTCGGTTGACTTCATTGCAACCATGAAACGACCGGACTCAGCAACGCATATGGTGGCAGCAGGTGCCAGCTTGGACCAAACAGATTGAGAACCGTGGCCAAAAATGAACAGCAAGGTTAGCAAGCCCAATGGCTCCTTCATACGTGCAAAATCCCGGGCGGGAAGCTGCAAGACATGTCAGACAGCAAAGGTATAGATGTCTGGATAGAAAGGCAAAACCTGAAAATTGCCGCATACCATGCCATCTTTCCGCTGCCTACCTACCACGAAGTCAGCAGCTCATGGCACCTAGATAGATTCAAGGTTCTCGACGTCAACATAAACAAAGTAAACACATATTGCGAGACATAGCCCCATGTGGTCCATAGAGCAGACTGGCTCCGATGCATTACAAACAGCACTTGGCTAGCTAGAGATTCTCATGTATGGAGGAAGAACAATGTATACTGGAGAGGCACGGTTCCGTGGCTACGTTTTGGTGTAAGAAAACAACCCCAAAAAGAGGTTCCAGACATGCATGGAATATCCAAACAGGCGGAACCCCCCAAAATGTCATTGAATTTTCCTGCGGCACATGGTCACCGCACCTGGGGTGGCTTTGCCTGTCGGGCCATCTCTCGCAGCGACACGGTGCCACAATCAAAAACGGCAAAAGCAACAGCCAAACGCTGCAAGGCCAAAGGAAGCTGGAGGCGCTTGCCCAAAACTAAAAACTGCAATGCATGCATCAATCGCAACACGAAGCCGTGCGCCATTGCCAGAGCGGTCGCACGAGTCACTTGGCCCAATGAAGTTAGACAAATGTTTCCCAAAGATGTCACTACGAAGCTCCAACTGGCAAAATTAGTTTCCACTGGGCTTGAAAGAAAGTGGACAGAATTGTCGGTCAACCGTCCCCCCCACAGCACTGCCCGCGGGCGGCAATTCAATCCCACAGTAGCAGTCCTCCAAAACTGCAAACCATTGCTGCTTCTGCCGGAACCCGAAGACAATGCGGCAGGCGAAATTTCCTGCCAGGGCTGGGTCGCGCAAACCAAAGAAGCACGATGCCAACCACAGCAAGCACGGCACCGAAGCCAACCACGCCAACCAAGCACAAGCCAACCAAACCAGACAAGCCAACCAAGCCAGCCAAGCCAAGCCAGCCAAGCCAAGCCAGCCAACCAGCCAACCAAGCCAACCAAGCCAACCAATCCAACCAAGCCAACCGAGGCAACCAAGGCAACCAAGCCAACCAAGGCAACCAAGCCAGCCAAGCCAACGAATCCAACCAAGCCAACCCAGCCAACCAAGGAAACCGAGGCACTCAAAGCAGCCAAGCCAACGAAGCCAACCAAGCCAACCAAGCCAGCCAACCCACCCAAGCCACCCAAGCCACCCAAGCCAAGCAAGGCAACCAAGCCAACCAAGCCAACCAAACCCATCCAGCCAACCAAGCCACCCAAGGCAACCAAGCCACCCAAGCCACCCAAGCCAAGCAAGGCAACCAAGCCAACCGAGCCAACCAAACCCATCCAGCGAACCAAGCCACCCAAGGCAACCAAGCCACCCAAACCACCCAAGCCAACAAAGCCAACGCAGCCAAGCCAGCCAACCAAGCCAACCACGGCAAGCAAGCCAAGCAAGCCAAGCAAGCCAAGCAAGCCAAGCAAGCCAAGCAAGCCAAGCAAGCCAAGCAAGCCAACAAGCCGAGCAAGGCAAGCAAGGCAACCAAGGCAACCAAGCCAACCAAGGCAAACAAGCCAAAGAAGCCAATCCAGCCAAAGAAGCCAACCAAGCCGACCAAGCCGACCAAGCCAAACAAGCCAACCAAGCCAACCAAGCCACCCAAGGCAACCAAGACACCCAAGCCACCCAAGCCAACCAAGCAAAACAAGCCAACCAAGCCAAGCCAACCAACCAAGCCAACCAAAGGAAGCAAGGCAAACAAGCCAATAAGCCGAGCAAGGCAAGCAAGGCAACCAAGCCAACCAAGCCAACCAAGCCAACCAAGCCAACCAAAGCAAACAAGCCATCCAGCCAAACAAGCCAACCAAGCAACCGAGCAACCAACCAACCAACCCACCAACCAACCAACCAACCAACGCACCCACCCACCCACGAACCAACCAACCAACCAACCAACCAACCAACCAACCAACCAACCAACCAACCAGCCCAACCAACCAACCAACCCCAGCAACCCCACCCAGCCAAGGCACACAAAGAGCACCTCCACGACGAAGAGCAAGTCCACGGAAGAGCAGGTCCACGGAGAAGAACGTGTCCACGGAGAAGAGCATGCCGACGTAGAAGACAAGCGAGGTGCGGTGGGGCCTTCACAGGGATGGGTGAAGGCGAAGTGTTTAAATAAATCTCCCTTTGTGAATTAAGTGAAAGTGTTGCTTGGAGCAATTTTATAGTGATAAACCTGGAGATGTTAACCCTCTGTTTGAAAATGCATCTAGAGAATCAGAGACGCAAGGGTATTTCAAGTGGACAATTGCTGGCACTGAGGTTGTTTATGAGCATCATTTTCTACAGAATAGCTGACACCAAGTCACTTGCGTAAAACTGTTTGTAGTTTGGGGGGTTACTTGGCCTTCTATAAAATCAGCGTCCCCAAGGATCATTCATTGACAGCTGACCTGCATACTCCAGTTGCTCTTGCTCGAGGTTTTCAGTGTCAACCTGTTTTCAACATGAAATCTCTATCGAGAATCGCTGACCCCAAGCTCCTCTATAAAAAGTGCAAACGTTGTTGACACTGGGTAGGTACCCCTAAACAAAGGAGGGCCCTAAAACACACCATGTTCCCAGGCTTACCTGTTGCGCTTTTGAAGCGGAAATTGCAAGGAGGATAAGTAAATCAGGATGCATAGTAGCAGCCTTTTGGAGTCACATATCTGCCAAGGCATTCTCATCACGCCAAAGAGGCGCAGAAACTGGGATATATATGGAATTTGCGTCAAGCCACGGGTCGGCTTCACGCGACCAAATATTGGTGCAGACAATCATGGGAATAGCATACGCAAAGATTTGATAAGCATGTTGCTGTGTCGGAGACTGTCCAAGCATGACCGGCGTGGAGCCGGCTTGAAAGAGCTGCCGGTTATTGAGCACCAGCTCTGGCTCACACTCGTCGAAGACGAGGCACTTGTGCAAAGTTCTGTCAAATCGCGTCAAATTGGGGTGCTGCACGTTTTGGCAGCTAACAACAAGCGTGGCAGCTGGTCCAAAGATGGACACAGCAAAGGACGTCTTCCCATATTGCGAAGGTCCATGCAAAACCAGGAAAGGAAATCTGGAGCGAGAGCCAAACCCATCAGTGTAAAGTTGCAGCCACTCTGTCACTGCGGGCAAGCAACGTGCCGGCTTTTGCAACTGGGACAAACGCACTTCCAGGACCTCTCGCATGGCTGCCTCGCGCCTCTGTTTCAGTTGCTCCTGCACAAATGAAATCTCGGCAATGTGGTTCCGGATGCCTCGAACACGGCCCCGCAACAACTCCTCAATAGCAACCTCGTCAGACAGCTTGTAGAAACGCCACAAAGACATAATGGAGGTGGCTTCCACGAGAAAGACTTGAAACCGCACATAGGTACTCTCACAGAAGACCGACCCAAACTTTGGAGCTTGCACATAATAATGGGCTGCATCGAGCTGCCGCTGCAATGCTTTGCCCCGCCCTTTGGTGCCACGTACATGTGGCAAGGCCCCACGAAGCTCCCAAAGCTGCAAAGCCCCAAGGCGCAGAGGTTTCTCGAAATTCGACAGCGCCACATGAAAATGTACCAAATTCTGTTGCTTTGTTCTTTTCAAACTCAATTCCATCTTGCAGGAAAGCTGTGGCCAATTCTGGTTGCTTTTCAAAGTCAGTTCCGTCACAAACTCACGCCACAAGGCTTCGTAAAAGGCGGACTGTCGCACTGCAGCAACCAATTCATTGTGGGTGCCTTGCATCATGGCCAAAGCATCCACCTCTGGAGTGCCAGCTCCCCAGGAGCCATTGTAAGTCAAGAGAAAGCCATGCAGCCGCTCATCCGTCATCTGAGAAGTTGCACGACCTGCTGCAGATGAAGCGGTGCCCCCGCCACGCCTGCTAGCGGCACCAGATCTGTCACCAAACGTGCTCTCTGCTGGGAACGGCGGTGCTGGATGGCTGCTATCTGCCATGTGCAAGAACCAGCCGGTTTTGTGATCAGATGGCTGCTCCTGCCACAACTCTTTGGCTCGCGCAAGGCCGTCAATATAGCTGGTGGCTTTCAAATGGGGCATGCGGCGCAACAGGCGGACACACCATTGATCACGAAAGGCAGACTTTTGGCGACTTGTCAAAGTAGAAACCGCGCTGCTAGCGCCGGGTGGAAGCACCCAAGAGGAGACCTTGGTCGCCCAATCAATCGAGAGACGCCGCCGCCGGCTGGGAGGCGGCGATGCAGCTTGATCTTCGACAGGCAACAGAGCCAACTGGCTATCACAGCTAGGCAGCACCACAGGTAACTCTGCAGCAACTTCGAACTCCAACATCAAAGCTTCTAAAGCGGCGTCCAAGTCTGTGCCATCATCATCGACTGCCATGATGCAACAGAAGATTCATGCAGAGGCCTTGGAACCTAATGTCAAGCAACAGGCGCACAGGCTGGCTCAAAGTGGCAGAGCCCGGGTGGAGAATCTACACATCGCAGCCTTCTAGTGGAAGGACACAGAAAAGTATCCAGAATGCGAAGACAGAGCGGCCAATACTAGCACACCTGTGCCAGAACCAAAATGGGCCGGTTGGTCCATGTGATTTGCAGAGGCTGACACTTCAGATTTGTGAGTGTGACTCTTCAAAATCCATGACTGTGGTATGGAATCACAATCGACACTGTGACATGTACATGGAGAGGAGGGATGTACAACATGTTTCGCACATAGAGGGACATGATAGTTGATGACTCAACAATCCTGTCGCCGCAAACGGCCAATGAAAAATGTTACGTCCGCCAAACTGTCGCGAACCCCACGTGTTTCTTTCGCGGGGCCCATGTTGGACAACAATGCCTCGTATGAAGATTCGTGCACCACCTGCCCAATTACGCCAGAGAAGCACGGATCACTTTTTGATAGGCTTTTGAAACAAGCAGCGAGCAGCACGGAAGCCCTTCGCAGGACAGATTCTGGCTGACTAGGTTTGTTTTTGGCAGCGTTTACTGAAGAAAAAACGTTCGCAAAGGTGCCCAACATAACAGGAACGGTCTTCGGAAGGAAAACTCTGTCCAAGGACTTTGACATGGCTCACCACATGTGCACAACGCAGGCGCGGATGCCTGCGGATGCCCCCGCGGATGCGGGACGACCCCTTCAAAGGACCACCGCGGATGCCAAAAACCCCCAAAAAAAGGCCGCGGATGCATTTCCGGCGTTTGAGAAATACAAAGTAATAGAAAGCAACCCGCCCTGCGGATGCCCAATGGGGTGTGTGGCACATTGTATGGGGGGGAGGGGGTTTTCTGGGCTTTGCTGCTGTCCCTCGGAGACGTCTTCGCGTTAAGGGGTTCTCTTCTTCCCTCTTGTGGCTGCCATGCCTCTTTCCAAACTTCGCCTTGCCACGCGTTGTGTTCCCAGTCGGTGTTTTCCTACGTCTTGAAGTCACAAAAAGGGCGCGTTCTGCCACATGTGCGCCTGCCACGCGTTCACTTTCAGTCAAGGGTGTCTCCTTCACAACCTTGGCTCTGCCACACTGCGCCCCGCCACATGTACCTGCCACACGTGCGTTCCCATGAGAACCTTCGCTGGCTTCACTTCCCATACTGGGTGGTTCCTTCCAAACTTGCACATGCCACGCGTTGACTTCCCATCACGGGTCTCTCCTCCCAAACACTGGCCCTGCCACGTTCTAGGTTCCTCTAAGGGTGGTTTCTTCGAAACCTGCGCCTGCCACGCGTTGATGTCATCAGAACTGGGTTCTTCCACAGTAGCTCCTGCCACGCGTTGCCTTCCCATCACGGGTCTGGCCCTGCCACGTTCTAGGTTCCTCTAAGGGTGGTTTCTTCCAAACCTGCGCCTGCCACGCGTTGATGTCATCAGAAATGGTTTCTTCCACAGTAGCTCCTGCCACACGTTGCCTTCCCATCATCAGAACTGGGTTCTTCCACAGTAGCTCCTGCCACGCGTTGCCTTCCCATCACGGGTCTGGCCCTGCCACGTTCTAGGCCTGCCACGCGTTGATGTCATCAAAAATGGGTTCTTCCACAGTAGCTCCTGCCACGCGTTGCCTTCCCATCACGGGTCTGGCCCTGCCACGTTATAAGTTCCTCTAAGAGTGGTTTCTTCCAAACCTGCGCCTGCCACGCGTTGATGTCATCAAAAATGGGTTCTTCCACAGTGGCTTCTTCCACAGTAGCTCCTGCCACGCGTTGCCTTCCCATCACGGGTCTCTCCTCCCAAACGCTGGCCCTGCCACGTTATAGGTTCCTCTAAGGGTGGTTTCTTCCAAACCTGCGCCTGCCACGCGTTGATGTCATCAAAAATGCGTTCTTCCACAGTGCTCCTGCCACGCGTTGCCTTCCCATCACGGGTCCCTCCTCCCAAACGCTGGCCCTGCCACGTTATAGGTTCCTCTAAGGGTGGTTTCTTCCAAACCTGCGCCTGCCACGCGTTGATGTCATCAAAAATGGGTTCTTCCACAGTAGCTCCTGCCACGCGTTGCCTTCCCATCACGGGTCCCTCCTCCCAAACGCTGGCCCTGCCACGTTATAGGTTCCTCTAAGGGTGGTTTCTTCCAAACCTGCGCCTGCCACGCGTTGATGTCATCAAAAATGGGTTCTTCCACAGTAGCTCCTGCCACGCGTTGCCTTCCCATCACGGGTCCCTCCTCCCAAACGCTGGCCCTGCCACGTTATAGGTTCCTCTAAGGGTGGTTTCTTCCAAACCTGCGCCTGCCACGCGTTGATGTCATCAAAAATGGGTTCTTCCACAGTGGCCACGTTATAGGTTCCTATAAGGGTGGTTTCTGCGAAACCCGCACCTGCCACTTCTTGACAGTGGCCCTGCCACGTTATCGGTTCTTATAAGGGTGGTTTCTTCGAAACCTGCGCCTGCCACGTGTTGCCATCATCAGCGGTCGGTTCCTCCACAGTAGCCCCTGCCACGCCTTGCTTCCGCAGAACGGGTCTTTCCTTCCAAACATTGGTACTGCCACGTTATAGGTTCCTATAAGGGTAGTTTCTTCGAAACCTGCGCCTGCCACGTATTGCCATCATCAGCGGTAGCTTCCTCCACATTAGCCCCTGCCACGCGTTGCTTCCTCCGAGTGGTGTTTCGTTCCAAACAACATTGGCCCTGCCAGGGTTTGAGGCCCCATTACGGGTTGTTTTTTCCGAGCCTGCGCCTGCCATGTGCTGACTCCAGCTGGGGTTGGTCCTCCACAACTTGGCCCTCCATATGGGGTAGTTTCTTCCAGGTTTCTGCCTGCCACGCGTTGACCTCCCATCAGGGATGCTTCCTTCGGAAACTTGCCTGCGCCTGCCACGCGGCCTGCCACGCGTTGAGTTTCCATGCGGGGGTTGCCCCTTCCCACCCACGGGTTTCACAAGTCGGCTCCGCAAACCATGCAAAGAAGGGACACATCGAAAAACAGACACAAATGAAGCGGTCAATTCAGCTAACGTGACGAATTGTCGCGCACCAATCAGCTTCCCACCGTGCAAAACCACGCCATGTTTCCCTTCATCTTACAATTGGCCGCATGGGGCCTGCAAAACCAAAATGAAACAAGGTGGGCCAGAGAACTCACAAGCAACACGGCGTACAGCACGCCTTTTTAACAAAGTCTTGCGCTATGGGCAGCTGTGCTCTGTACGAAATGGACGTAAGATCTTTACTGAAACATCGTTCGCACTGATGGTATTAGGGGCCACAACTCACCACAGCATGCTGTGCCAGCTACGCCCATTGGCCGCGTGGGGTCTTCAAAACCAAAATGAAATACATCTATATTGAGTGGTCTTTCTTGTTTTTCTGCTTTGTGGTTCTATGGTTTCTCGTTTTCATTGAGTTGATTGGTGTCATCCCATCCTTTCAAAAATACAGGTGCACCCAGCTCGGGCGGCCTCCGGTCATGGAATTTCTCCGTGTATCTGCAGCCCCAGCTACTTGAACATGTCCTGAGCTGATCTTGCACTGTTGCGCTGTCACCGTGGCAATGGTTGGCTGCAACACTGGCAACCGGCACCCAACACATCTTCTGACATTGGTGTTTCTCATACTCCAACAGGAAAAAAAACAGTTTGCGCAGCTGATCTTGAACTGCCAAGCTGTCCCCTCGACCAGATTGATGGATTTCCACACAAACACGTCTAATCCAAGAAAAAATGAGGTCCAAAGAAACATCGCCCAGTGTTACAATCTGTTCACTTCTGAGCTGATTTTGAACTGCTGCGCTGTCACCCTAGAGATAACTGGCTCAAACACTGGCATGTGGTAGTAAAAAAAACTTTGCCCCATGCGAAATGACGGAACGTGCACATGTTTTGAAAACCCTGTTTTTGACCTTCCAACATGGAAATAACAACCGTGTCGTGCAGCTGATGTTGAACTGCCGAGTTGTACCCTGACAGATGCATGAACTGCCACCCAAACGCGTGCATCCGAAAAAAAACGTCTCTCCGTGTCACCATGTGTTCACGTCTGCGTTGAGTTTGAACTGCTGCGCTGTCACCTGCAGAAGCATGGCTGAAAGGCTGGCATGCGCTGTTCCACAAACACAACGCTGCCCCATGTGGAGTCACGGGAGGGTCACATGTTTCCAAAATGCTGTATCTGACCTTCCAAGATGCAAATCGAAACCGCTTCGTGCAGCTCCTGTTTAAACTGCACAACTGTCCCTGAAAGTTTTGTGCATGGCCGCACAAACGCGCCTAGTCTCCCGCAGTGATGGTGGGTCCCAGAAAAAAAACGTCTCCCAGTGTTACAGTCCGTTCAGTCCTGAGCGGAGCGTCAACTGCTATGCCGTTACTCAAACGATGGATGACTGAAACACAGGCATATGCCATTCAAACAAACATACCATGGCGCCATGCAGATCACATGTTTATAAACTCCTGGTTCTCACCTGCCAACATGAAAATAAAAACCGTCTATTTCATGGATGCCACAGAAACACGCCTCGAATCCTACAAACAAGTCGGTACACAGAAAGCGTTTCCCAATGTTAGAGTCTGTCCACTTCAGAGTTGATCTTGAACTGCTGCGCTGTCACCCTTGAGATGGCTTGCTCAAACACAGGCAGGTGCTGCCGGAATTGTACCACATGCAGGTGCGGAACGTGTTGCACACTCCTTAGCTGATCTTGAACTGCAGAGCTGTCACCCTACAAATGGCTGGTTTACACCTTCGCATGTGGTGTGCAAACCAAAACAAGCTTGTTCCTTCCGGAGCAATGGAGTGTTTCTCACCCTACAACATGAACATGGAAAAATACCCCTTTTCATGACATGTCCCTTGAACTGCCCAGCCGGTCCGCCACAGCTAATTGACTTACTAGGAAAGCGGCAGTTAACCTGACTGGGCGGACGTTGCTTCTGACCTCAGGCACC